CGGCCACTGTCACTTTTCGGCCAAAACTTACCCTACTCTTTTCGGCCACTGTTCCTTTTCGGCCAGCATAATTTTCTTTAAAATTTACAATTTTAACAACTGAACATATTATTACATTTGTTAAATTAAAAATTAATTTTTGTTTGACAAATTTTACTATTTATGATGTAGTCCTCACTCTTCAATGCAAGTTTAATTTCGTTTATAGTTGGTTTTTTGGAAGTAAAGATAAACCAGCGTTATTTCTTGTTCGACATAATACAATGTAAAACGCTATCTAATCAGTTATAACTTATAATGATGTGTCTAAAGTATAGGCAATAGAGTATATAGTAGTAATGCCAAAATGTTGTAACTTATCGTTTATATCTTATCTAAATTTATTTTAAAAAATTTTATTAAATTATTGTAATTAAGAGTAATTTATTTTACTATATTATATAAGTATTAAAGTATTAAGTAATGCAGTCTAATTTTGTCCGAATTTGAACTTAAAATGTATACAAAATATATATTAATTAGATTTTTTCAATACAATATTAACTACTTAAGATTGTAAATTTTAAATTGTCAATCCTTAATTATTAAAATTGAAACTTTAATTAATTATTAACTACAAAATAATTAGCAAGTTTTTGCATTTAAAAAAAAAGATCAAGCTATTAAGCTTATAAAAAACAATTATGGATTTATATTTTATGCTCAACTTTTTTTATAATTTTAAGTATTAATAAGTTTTAAGTATATTGAAAATTGTGTGTGGTATTTAGATTGCAGATATAAACATTTAGTGAACATTTTATCTCATACAAATATTCTAATTTTGTTTTAGAAATCTCAAATAGGTACAAGAAATAAAGAGTTTTTGGTATTTTAAAAAGAAGATTTCCTGCATTAGCCTTGGGAATAATGACAAAATTGACAACCACTATAGCTATAATAGTATGAAATTGATCCAGAAATATTTCAAGAATTACCTGTTTTAGACAAATTGGAAATTTATTTAGGACACATTTAATTAATACTGTATTTTCCGGTGATGACTAAATTAATAACTTTTATTTTTTTTTACAATGTTTTTATAATATTAAAATACAATATATACAATTTACTTTTGTAATAGTTTTTTTTTTAATTCTAGATCAAATTTCAAAATTTCTTCTTTATATTTGTTTTGTTGTGTTTCGGATATAGAACTTAACCGCTTATTCTCACTTCTTTTTCAATTAATGCTGTTTCCAATTCTACCTTGACTTTTGATATTTGTATATCATATAGTTTTTTTTTGTTTTCAACATTAGTGTCTACTATTGATGAACGTTTCCAACAAGTTCATTTAAACTTTAAAGTTTTGTAAACATTACTGCCAGTAGTTTTAGGAGCTGCTACTGAATCATTAGATTTCAGTTTTTTTGTGGTAGAACTTTTTTCATTTGAAGACTTATGTTCTATAAAAAAATGTAGGCATTATGTTTAAGTTAATACTATGAAAATAAATAACTCACTTATTTTACTACAGTATGGATTCAACTGATTTAAGTATCCAGGTATAATAAGTTCGGAAATTTGCAGTTTTTTGTGATCTTAATATTGCTCGTCCTCCACAGTTATCGATACATTTGTAATATTCATTATTTTCATTAGATCTATCAATTCTGTGTATATAATTATCCACTACTAACAGCGGGTGTCTTGGGTTTGAGTTAATTTTATACCAAGACGTCATGTTAATTATTAAAATACAAAACTTATTTGACACGAGTGGAAAAGGGGACTGCAAACTAAAGAACGTGACTGTGCGTATACCCATCATTATATGTGTAATATTTGTAGATTATTATTGTCACTTTATCAGCGATAAGATTACGGAACGACGTTTTCGCAACGATGTCACCTGAAATAGCTTACTTCCCGTTTTTATAATATTATATCGATTTTTGCAAAAGCGTAGGAAACACATGTAAAAAGAATAAAGTTGTGTTTAACTTTTAGTGCATATTTACTAAAAAAGGCAGGTAAGTGGATGTCGCTCAGCTGTACAGTAGGTTACAAGTTGGTCATTGTTTAATGGATTGTATTAAACTTGAATTCAATGATATAATATCATTGTATAAGAAAAACGATTCTGAACGGAGACTATTTATATAGATAATACCTACCTATTTTAGATTCTGAGCGGAGCGAGGAAGCTAGTGGTTTTGCAATGGTGTTTATTTTTTTTTTTTATTTTTTTTTTTATATCCTGTATACAAAATTTCTACCAGAAGAAGTGCTTTGATTTCAACATATAGTACCTTATCTTTTAGCAAATTGGACCAAGATGGTACTTTAGAGAGGTCATTTTTCGATTTTCTCAATAGTTATATAATGCCACGGGAAAAACCACCGAAAAATTACGAAAAACCATTTAAAATCGGATTTTAATTTCTAACGCTTTGTTTATCACCATAGAAACGAATAAAAAATTATAATATTAATTCAACTTACATGATATAATAAATAATAACTATATAAAATATCCAGACTGACAAACCGTCTCAGCTCAGAATCGTTTTTCTTATACAATGATATTATATCATTGAATTCAAGTTTAATACAATCCATTATACAATGACCCACTTGTAACCTACTATACAGCAGAGCGACATCCACTTACCCGCTTTTTTTTTTTTTATTCGTTGCTACGGTGATAAACAAATTGTTAGAAATTAAAATCCCATTTTAAGCGGTTTTTCGTAATTTTTCAGTACTTTTTCCCGTGGCATTAAATAACTATTGAGAAAATCGAAAAATGACCTCTCTAAAGTACCATCTTGGTCCAATTTGCTAAAAGATAAGGTACTATATGTTGAAATCAAAGCACTCCTTCTGGTAGAAATTTTGTATACAGGATATAAAAAGAAAAAAAAAGAAATAAACACCATTGTAAAACCACTAGCTTCCTTGCTCCGCTCAGAATCTAAAAAATTAAATATGAATGTGAAATATTATAATATTAATATAATATATATTATAAATATAACATATTTACTCAAGCTTTGATGAGTAAAAACCTGGGGTTTTCGACAAAATGGGATTAGGAAAAATAGGATTCGGTCAAATGGGATTTATTATCAATCCATATAAAACTGGTTTTTTTTCGGCAAAGCGGGATTCGGCGAAATAGGATTGGGTGAAACAGGATGATACCAGCCTATTTGAGTCCCGGTATACCTTTTTAGACAGCCTATATTCTTTTTTTAGGTGTATTTATACTATTCACGTATTAATTTGAAATGATTTTTAAACATTGATAAATTTATAAATATTTGGATGGCTTGAGTAAAAGGATGAATTAAATTTGGAATGAAGTGCCTCACATGCATTCGTTGTTCGTCGTACGCTAGATGAACATTATGCCCACATAGGTACTTGGAGGAAATTGAGCATTTTCGGATATATAATTTTCTAATTTGTAATCAGTAAAATCTATACATTCTGCCGGAATGATTGGAATGATTTCATGGGCAAATACGTCACATAACATTTGTGGAGGTAAAAATGGCAGTCGAAAACCAAGTGTAAGAAATAAACCTATTTCTGTTTTATTTTTATATTAATTTGCCAATCCAATATTTTGTATTTTTCGCCACCTACAAAATTCATTTGTGAACCGTTAATCATACAAATATTTATTATATTAATTATTTTTATGAATGTTAATTTATACATACCACGATTGTCCCTAATGGAAACGACAACCTTTTATTTCCGCTTCTGTCCAAACTGTACACACAGCTTTATGAATTGCAATTTCAAAATCAACAAACACATTTTCAGGAGCAAAGGTAACATTATATTTTGAACACGATTCATTCAAATACGTAAAAGCTCTTTCGTATGTTTTATTTTCTTTGTTAGGTAGTAAAAAAATGCCAGTGGAATGTAATAATCATTTATCAGACCATGTATTGTGAACATTTGTAGAAAATATTTATTTTATTTTTGGGCAATATTGAAAAGTCCCGTCGACATATATTGTTTTAAGGTTACTTTTAAATCTTAAATTTTTTTCACATGAAAATAATATAATATTTGTTTGCTTATCGTTTACCATAGCAAAAGTTTCATTTTCAGCTATAAATATTTGGTTTTGTTGTAACATGTTGTGTAACTCTTCAGAATTTGTTGGTAATTTTGGCAAAATAGTTCTCCGAGCATTGTACATATTTTTACCTACTAGGTTAATATCTGACGCAGTAGAAGTAATGCATCCGCCACTAAGCTCAGTACAGATAAGTTTTGATGGTTTCATTGATATGTCTGTAATAACTTTTAGTTTAAGTCCGTTGCTTGATTGTTGTCGTTTACAGTGTGCAAGTTCATTTGGATCTTGATTATGTGTCGTTGGTTCCAGTGGCGTATTTACGGGGGGGGGGGGTCCAGGACCCCCCCCAGAACCTCTCATAAAAAAAAAAAAAAAAACACTACAATTTTTACATATTTGCAGAACCCGATTTATGTAAGCAAGCGCGGTCGCGCGGAGATAGTTTTTTCCCGTGAACAAAATATAATAGTTTAAAATTAGTTACAACAGCTAAAACAGATAAATGTTCCTGCAGCATGGTTTTAAGTAATAAGAAGTATGCGGAACATTTATAGTAATGTTATTCTGACGACAGTTTTTCTAAGTTACGACTAAATACGAAGTGCGATAAGCCGATAAAATTAATAGGTATTAAGTACCCGTATCTTTGAAATATAAACTTTATCACACAGAAAAACTGATTATGGATGGATTTGTGTGTATAGCAATTAGCAATAGTTGTGTAGCCAATAGCCATATATGGATAGGTATAATAAAATATAAGTTAGTGGCTTTTATCTTTTTTAAGATATTACACATTTTCTATTAGTCTCATTTGCCTTCAACAACTATACGAGTAACGAGTGAACCAGTGAACAAGTGTTCATTGTATTTTTATCAATATTAAGTAAGTACACAATATATTGCTTTTATTATGTCTCAGCAAACTTCGTTAAGCCAATTTTTTAAAAAATCCAATGATACAAATGTTCTACAAGTTGACCATCACAAATCTTCAGTTTCCGTAACTTCTCCAAATAAACGACCAATTTCACCAAATACAGATAATGTCAAACGTACCAAAATGTTAAAAAAATCTGACAATACTGAAACAGAAAATGAACATAATTTTAACAATTTCGATATTGGATTTTATTTTAATCGCTCGTTAACAGATGTAGAGAAAGAAGAAGTTCTTAAAAAAATTTGGAAGCCCGAACCTACTTTTGAATTCCCTAATACTGTTATATTTAGTGGTAAAGATAAGCGATCCAAAAATTTAAAATTTCAATACAGATGGTTGCATACCTTTCCGTGGTTAGCGTACTCCGCAAAATTAGATGGTGCATTTTGTACATTTTGTGTAGCGTTTGCTAAATCAGGAGCTGGCATAAATTCTCAAACACTAGGCGCTTTGGTTAGAAAACCTTTTCAAAATTGGAAACATGCAATGGAAACGTTTAAAAATCATGTAACACTTCAGTATCACAAACAATCCGTCTTTGATGCAGATCATTTCATAGATATAAAAAAAAACGTACATTTATCTATTGAAAATCAATTAGACACTGCTCGGGCACGACAAATTTTTGAAAATAGAACAAACATTTCACCTGTTATTGAAACAATTATCTTATGCGGTCGACCAAATATACCTCTACGAGGTCACCGTGATTTCGGAAAATTAACCGTTGATAATAATGATGTTAACGACGGAAATTTTCGTAATTTATTACGCTTTAGAGCTCGCGGTGATGCTTCGCTCAAATTACATCTTGAAAGTTCTGGTACTATAAAATATACAAGTCCTATTAGTCAAAATGCTATAATTGATTCATGCAATTCAATTTTACTCAATAAAATAGTAGCTAGAGTAAATGAAGCGAAATGTTTTACAGTTCTTGTCGATGAAACTGCAGATATAGCCGGTCTCGAACAAGTGTCTATTTGCGTTCGGTATATTGATTTAAAATCCTATGAATTACACGAAGATTTTCTACAATTTGTTCCAACTACTGATGCATCTGGAAAAGGTTTATCAAGACTTATACTTGACAATCTCAGAGAGTTTGGTATAGATACACAATATCTTCGGGGCCAGGGGTATGACGGTGCAGCCGCGATGGCTGGGAAATATAATGGAGTTCAAGCTTATATAAAAAAAGAACATCCTTTAGCTTTATATGTACATTGCTCTGCGCATTAATTGAATCTTGCTGTATCGGTATCATGTAACGTTTTCCAAATACGCAACTGTATGGGAACAATAGGAAAATTGAGAGACTTTTTTGTGTTTCCGAAACGAAAATCTGTACTGTCGAAAGCTATTGAAATGTCAGAAAATAATATTTCTAAAAAATCACTGAAGAGAAATTGTGAAACTAGGTGGATTGAAAGGTATCATTCAGTTGGTGATTTTTTAGAACTGTTTGAATGTGTAGAAGAAGCTCTTGAAGAAATTTGCGAGTGGGATCATACAGACACGTCAAATCAAGCTAGCGCTTTTCGAAATTCAATTCTCCAACCAGAATTTATAATTACGGTAGTTACAATTTCAAAAGTATTTGGATTCGGACTCCCACTATCAAAACAGTTTCAACAAATTAATATTGATTTAAAATTGGCCATGGATTTAGCTCAAGATACTTTGAACGAGTTAGAAGATTATAGAAATCACGCTCAGAAAAATTTTGAAGTCATTTTTTTAGCTGCCAAAAAAATTGCTGACAAGTTCAATGTGACAATGACAATTCCGAGAATCAATAAAAGACAAGTACATAGAATAAACGTACAAACTAATAATCCTGAAGAATATTTTCGCATATCGGTTTTTATTCCATACTTAGACTCTTTTATAAGTCAATTAAAATCTAGATTTCTTAATCATATTGATATTTTGTCAAGTTTTCACTCTCTTTTTGACGAGAATTCTACAAAAGAAGAATTCAAAATATTAGCTGTATTTTATGAAGAAGATTTAAATGGTAATAATTCAATAATAGAAGAGTTCCAACTGTGGCAAAGGAAACTTAAAAAATTGGAAATAAAACCAAAAAATTCAATCGATGCACTGAAGTTGTGTAATGCAGACATATATCCAGGAGTTAATAAGTTATTTCAAATTTTGTCTACACTACCTATATCTACAGCTTCAAACGAGCGGACTTTTTCATCACTAAAACGAATTAAAACATATCTACGAAATACAATATCTGAGGTAATAAAATATTATTAAGACATTTTAATTTTAAAACTAATATTTGTGGTTGTTTTATTTTAGAAAAGACTTAACGGATTGGCTATGTTAAATATTCACAGGGATGTTGAAATCACTGTTGATGAAGTGATAGAGGAGTTGGCAAAAAAATCTAGACGACTGGAATTTATTTTATAACAATACTTTTCATATGTAGTGCTAAATACAATATATATATATATATATATATATATATATATATATATATATATATATATATAATATTACATAAGACTTAGACTATACTATTATATATTTTATTCAACTTCCTCCAAAAACTTCATAAGGACGTAACTATTACAAGATATCATAGTTTATATTAATTATGTATAAACTGAGGACCCCCCCCAGAAAAATTTGAAAATACGCCACTGGTTGGTTCACATATCATATTTTCTAGAGCATCGATCTTATAAAAACTTTTGCAATTTTTTATTTGTGCACTTCCACCGTTGTACTTTATTTTCAAGCATTTTATGGTAACTGAACTTATAGCCATTAATTATAAACAGTTCTTTTTTCGCGCCCAATTTGGAACTAAACATTTTTCCATTTTAACCACAAACACTGTATAACGGGACGACTGGTTGAGTGAACTTGTACTGAGAAATGTACAGCACCGTGCAAAATACTTTGTGTTATTTTGATCAATCATAATAATATAAGATATACCTATCAAATGACGACAATCAGACATCTCCTAGTAATCAATTTTATTACACTAACCAGCTATAATGATATTAACATTTGTATTAGTGGGAAAATGCTGATAATATTTTACTGTTCGTCGTAGACATTACATGGACAATTTACACATACATCAATATTTGAACAATATTATTGTAACCCTTAATCGGCGTTATCGCATAATATTTATGGACGCAACTAAGTAATGACTTTAATGTCAGGTAAGAAGAATAATATGGTTGAGTTGGGTCCCCAAAATGGGACCCAAGTTACCTGTTGAATTTACTACTTGAATCTACTAGGTAAAATTTACCTTTTTCGGGGACGCAAGTAGTATGCAGCCAGGAAAATTGACAACAACAGCAAAAGGGTTCTGTACTATGTTCTAGTTGTTAATGTCCCATTACCTAGAAACTCAAGTGTCACGTGTCCCGTTGTTGAAATAATTAGTTCAGCCCATGACATTAATGCTATTTTACAATGGCTGAACGCTTTTAAAGCATTCGTTTTGAAACAGAAACTGCCTTGGCCTATATTCACAAATATAGTGACAGATTTCAGTTATGCCCAAATAAATGCCTTGTGTATAGGATGGAATGGTTTTACTTCCATATTAGACTACCTTAACTGGTGTTACAGAGTATTGGTTGAAAACCACGACGAATCTTATGTCACCATCATAAATATATGTGCAAATTATTACACAAAAATTATAGTAAGCCATGTCTACACATATTTTAAATCAGAGAAAATCCATCTTAAGAATGTAGAAAAAACGAAAAGAAATTATGTTATTGATCGAATATGTATACTTTTTAACACAACCAGTTTGACAGATGTTGAACAATGGTTCAAAATATTTTCAGTAATACTGTTGTCACCTTATGGTTCAGGACACACGAAAAATGCCATTAGTACAATGAGAGCCAAGTGTTATGATAAATATTAAATACCAATTGCCAAATCGAACAATGAAGGTGAGGATCACTCGGAGGAAATAAATAAATTTCTATGCGAATGCAACACGAGTAATTCCATGATGTTCTGTAGATTTCAGTTAATCAAAGAACAGATTAAATCTGAAGCCTTAAATTGTGCTGTAAATATTGAAAATGTAAGCATTAATGAATATTACGATGAACCATATATACACGAGTTTATAGTTGTGTACCTTTCTCAGCACTGTGGACACCTATTATGAATAATAAAGTCAACAATGGCATTGAAATCCGCCAGAGTAATGCTACCGTTGAATCTTGGTTTAAAACAGTCAAACAAGACATACTAGAAGGCGACCGTAGGCTTAAATGTGGCCGGTTTTTAAAACTTATGAGACAGCGTGTGACGAATGTACACAAACAAATTAAGTCAATATTAGAAAAGGAAATTACACTCGTGCACTTGATTTTGATAGTAAGTCTAAACAGAGTACTAATAAAGAAAATGGAAAAAGAAAAATTTCAGAATTGTCTAGCCTTAACCATTTAGACGAAACAGAAAGTTGGGGAAAAGAAGAAAAACAACACAAACATCTCCAACACATGAACTACCGTCCTTTCAAAGCACTATCGTTAAAAATCCCAATGTCTTCGACCATTACAGCAGATAAAAATAATATTTCGCCCAAAGTGGTCCATGGTATCGAAAGCCTTGTGGTTATAGAATGTGACAATGAGACGAGGTCCACTGTTGATGAGCTATTAACGACATGGTCAGGCCCTGATTTAATAAAATTTGGGCCAAGTGCATAATTTTTTTGGGGGCCCCCTACCCCCTACCCCACCGGCCACCACCACAAGTCAAAAAAATGTTCTAGAAAAAATCTATACAGAGAGTAGGAGGAAATATTGATAATAAAACAAAATATTTATATGTTAAGTATTAAATAAATACCTCAAAATTCATAAAATATTTGTACATTATTTCATATACTATAAATACAATTTAGTTACTTGGTCTGGTAATTTAAGGATATTGAAAAGATAATACTAATTAAATAACATAATTAATTATCAATCTTCCATAAAATTATAAAAATGGTAAATAACTTGTTAATTTAACAATTTATTTTATACAATTAAAATGAAATGAAAAATAAATCATTTCTATATTTTCTATATTTATGTTTTTATTTAGCTATAATATTTAATCACAAAAAAAGTTTAAAAAGATTTCTTTCTTGCTTTTTTCTCTGCAAAAGTTTCGATAACTGATTCAAATTTTTTTTTTATATATTAGTTTATTTATAACATTTGTTTTGCGATATTCATTTCCGTGGATAACTGAATAACCTAAACCAATAGTTCTAAAAATGGTAATTGTGGGAGCGAAATGCGTCACCAACGACCGGTTAATCAGTAAATACTGGGCTGGAAGAAATCTATAAATAGTTATTATGTATCAAATATTTCCGATGTTCGAACAATTTTCTATTATTATTATTTTAATATGACGTATTGAGGTGAAGAATAACTTATACTAGTATAATAAGGTCTATGGGAATTATAATTTATTAAAAATAATTAATTTAAAAAAAAATTTTAATACAGAAAATTTTCTACAATTCACGGAGATCGGGGGCCCCCAAAAATTGGGGGCCAAGTGCAAGTGCTCCATCTGCACTTGCGTAAATCAGGGCCTGGCACATGGTTGTACATGATTTGATTAAGCCATTGGACGATAATTATTAATTTTGTAATGAAATTGGTTTCGACACCTGGCAGTCATAAATCTCCGTTTCAACAATCAGTGTCATCTATATATTTACTCGAAAATATGCTACTTAAAGATTTGACATACTACAAACGAATGCCAGAGAATAATAATTATATAGTTGGAACTTATAGTTACATATTTGGTAAAGACCGAAATTGTGACATCCTGACCGACCTGTACTTCCAAGATTTTGATACATTGTCTGGGGAAGAATGGTTGTGAAACTTTGTTGTAGATATCTGTTTAATGTCATATGCTAAAAAGCTGGATTTAAAATACACAAATTGTATCAGTCAACCGTGCGAGATCGCTGTTAGAAAAAAGAGAAATAATTGGTGAAGTGCATAACAAAATTACTTTTACTCAGGACAGTACGGTTATTCTACCGTGGTTACTTAATACTCGTCACTTTATAGTAGTTATTATAAATTTCAAAACCGAAGAGTGTTACATCATTGTGATCATTTTAATACATATGACATAAAAAGTCGACAAGCAATAGCTCGTTTCAAACAGGTATGTAAAATGTTGAAATCAGATATAATGTAAGGTAACGACTGACAACAATGTCCTCCGTTATCACATATTCCATGCCCTTTAAAAAACGTTCCACAACAAAAAGATTTATTTAACTGTGGAATATTTAAAATCATGGACAATTCTGAGTTCAGTTTAGACTTTAATCCTCAAACGTACAGACAATATTTAAAAAAATATCTCTTAAAAAATTCTGAAGACATGACAAACGTATGCTTATACTGTAGGCGACATTCAAATAAGCACCGAAGTCTCCTCGAAGATGACTGTGTAGAATGGGTGTCATGTTCTGTGTGTTGCCGCTGGATAGTGACAGAGCATTCCTAAAAAAGGCAGCATTGATAATTAAGAAATCAATAATTTCTACTGTGTTTTTTTTTCCGTAATGATAAAATTAAAATATATAAAAACTATTAAGTAAAGCAAGTTACAAATTGCATATCAAAATTATAATTAAATTATTTGAGTTATAGTATACAGTATTTGTGTTTTTTCATACGTAATTTTCTACTACTATTTAAAGTAAAATAAAAATTCGAGCTTAGATCTGACCTGCAGAAACTTCTTATCTTTCAGATAAAAAAAAATTGACCAAAATCCGACATATCTACGAGGCAAGAGAGTTTTTCATATGGAACTATTTTTGTTAATCAAAATAGTGCTTCGATAATAGTCATCGAAGTCTATCACTGACTTGTGCATGAGCGTGAGTACATATATTTATCTGAGCGTGTAATTATAGCTCACTCACACTAATATCGGTTTGCATACTCACACACATGTACGTTCCACGAGAGGCTGATACAACTGTGAATTGAAATTGCCTAAATTGTACTCCTTAATAAATGGCCGGCACCGACACCCTTAATTAAATTGTAAACTGTAAAGTAATTTAATGTAATACACAGATTTAAAATAAAACACGTCCCATAAATTGAAGAAATCTCGGAGCAACAAAATAAAATTATTGAATGCTAAAGAAATATTTTAATTTTTAGAAAATGTATTTCGTCAAATTGTATTCTTTTAAATATTTGATCGTATAAAAAAATTGAATAGGTACAATCATCATACTTATTTAAAATTTAATCGATACTTAAAATGTTAAATATTTCATAAGTTAATAACTTGATGAAGCTGGCCACACACTACGGTTTTATTTGTACGTGTACGGTGTACGGTGTAGTTCGCACATTTTTAGTTCGTACACCGATGAACGACACACACTATCCATTTTGTATCTTTGTACGGTGTTCGAACAACACGGACCGTTTTTTTGACGAATGAATCGACAACAAACTATTAACATTATTATCAACGTACTAGTACGTACTAGTTGTATTTAATCGCATATTATGGCTCCTGTTTCACGCACCGTAAATTTAGCTTTGGCAGCTACTGCCGTGGCATTGGTCCTTCATAAAATTAAAGGTAAAAAACAAAAGAGAAAATGGACTAAAGATTGGTTGCTGAAAAGATCGCAATACTCGCATATAAACTTATTAAACGAATTACGGTTCCATCCTGAAGACTGGCATAATTACTAAAGGATGGATGAAGAAACCTATTTTGAATTACTTCAGTTAGTGACACCTCTAATAGTAAAACAAGATACTCACTTAAGAAAATCAATCACCCCTCACGAACGGTTGACAGCAACATTGCGCTTTTTAGCTACTGGTTGTACGAAGACCTGAAATTTACAACCATCATATCTCCACAATTATTGGGTGAAATTATTCCAGAAACCTGTTGTGCAATTCACAGACAAGTTACTCAAAGACAAGTATTTGAAGGTAAGTTTGTTAATTTAATAATAATATTTATTTTATTATAGGTATATAACACAGTAGAGTACTTTCGAACTTATAAACTTAAACAAAATTAACTTTTTTTTTAATGTACAAAACAATAAAATATGCTTAGAACACAAATAACTAATTTAAGAAAATATTAATTTGAGAATTCTGAATTATCTCATTGCTCGTAGTAGTCACGTATTCCAACCATAGCAGAATCTTTTGTTATTTCTGCTTGTGAGTACTGTTGAGGTTGTAGAGTTTCTGATGATATAATATTTTGCAGTGTTGTTACGTTTGATTGTGAGTATGGTTGAGTTTGCATAATTTCTGATGAATTAAGATTTAGCAGTGTTGGCAAATGGTTTTTTGATTGTAGTTGTTCTATTATTTGAAGATCTTGCGATGTATGTGGTTGATGTGGATTATGACTTTGCTGTTGTTTTTGAGGAAAAACTGACAAATTAAATTGTTGTTCATAATGAAAAACAGGTGGTGTATGACATAACAAATTAAGTTGTTGTTCATTATGCGAAACAGGTGGATTATGAGATAACACTAGTTTTTGAAGATAATAATGGGGTAATTGAGGTTCTAATGACGTATGCATTTGGAATAGTGCATGAGATTGCAGTATCGGGAAAGATCGATTTGGTACAGGTTGTTGAAGTGACATTTTAGTATACTTATTTATATTTCCAATTTCGGCTTCAAATAATATTTCATTAATAAATTTTTCGGACATCAGTTTAACCTCTTTTGATAATCCTCTTAATTTTTAAGCAATATTTTGTCCTATTACGTCAAATTCATCTAAATTTTCATTTTGCAATTTATTGCTAATTTTTTCTAAAACCTCATCACAAAGATCCCTTTTCTTCTCCTTTTTATTCTGAGTTGCCTGATATGGCTTATCAAAAGAAATAGAATTCGATATTGGTGATATCGGTGTACCAGTTGTATCGTTATCTACACTCTGTAAAAATGTACCAAACTGGTTTATATAATTTGTACAAATTTGTAATCATTTTTCAAAAATGTGTACACCCACTCTAACCCAGGATATTCGATAATACACACCTATCTGTATATCTATATAGGTACTGTTTTAAAATACTGCTTTAAGAATACTTGTAAAAATTATTCAAAATACCGTATTTAATACTTAAAAAAAAGTATTTAAAATGTATTCGGGATACTTAGAAATTATATTTGACTGTATATTGGTAAATATATTTATGTAAGCAATTTATAACACTAAACATGTTCGAGCACCATCGACATTTGAAATTGTTCGTTACTCCGCGCCACTTTGGCCCGTGAGGTTGCCAGCACTGCTTACAGCTGACGAGACTAGTCGGTTGCCCGTTAGGCCGTTGATGTTCGGCCGGCGAGACTCCGTCGCCATCACTTCTGTTTTTCGTTCCGAATTGGTTTGTTCAAGGAGTTCATCCCGTGTTTAAGTTTGAACGAGCAAAACCACGTTTTGGTACAAACGAAAAAAACTTGTTGTGTTCACCTGGGAACGTCCAGTTGAGGTGAGGCTGCCGGCGTTAACTTAGAGAAGAGTGCGCACGTGGCCAACAAAACAGTATAATTATTACTTACTTCTTATTATTAGTATTTAATGTGTTACCAATCTAAAACTTCACAAACAGAAATTTTTTGTTGAAATGAAAATAAGTGAAGACTGAGGACTGGGTCCGAGGCCCGGGGGCCTTTTCGGGTAGGGGGCCCAGGCGGAAAATGTCCATTTTCCCCCCGTTAAATCGGCCCTTCATAGAAGGTCTTAAATTAAATACATATTTTGGTTTTTAGTTTCCAAAGAGTGAAGAAGAATGGAAAACAATCGCCTCTGAATTTGAAAAAAAGTGGAACTACCCAAATTGTTTGGGTGCCGTTGACGGCAAACATGTTCGTATTACTCCACCAGCAGGCAGTGGGTCTTATTATTGGAATTACAAAGGTTACAATAGTTTGGTATTGATGGGGATTGCAAATGCTAATTATGAACTGATTATGGTGTATTTTGGAATCAATGGAAGGATATCCGATGGTGGTGTTATTGAATACACAGAATTTTATCAAAAATTAAAACATAATGAATTAAATATACCTACACCTTCAAAACCTAATTGTAGTTCAACAATTTTACCATATTTATTCCTCGGAGAAGCTTTTACATTGCGAGAAGATTTTTTGAAACCTTTTGGACAAGGACAACTCAACATCGAACGAAAAACATATAATTACAGATTATCAAGAGCACGTCGTGTAATTGAAAATGTTTTTGGAATACTAGCTAATCGTTTTCGGGTATTTCATACTAGTATTAATCTTAAACTTGAACGAATTGATAAAGTAGTGATGGCTTGCTGTACCTTACACAAGTTTTTGTGTAGAAAACGTCAACATCAGTACATTTTTTCAGGAAGTGTTGACCAAGAAAATATTGAAGATGGAACAATAGAGTTGGGTGAAAGGCCATTGACAGACTTGGAAATAGGACATAGCAGAAATAGTCGGCAAAATGCTAAAGATGTAAGGGACTTATATGTTGATTACTTTCCTAATGATTGTGTAGTTTCCTGGCAAAATAAATTTATTTAAACGTAATAATATAATAGTTATAATTTTATTTCATTATAATAAAATTAACTTTTTTAGTCAACTGCACCACTTTATGTACTCATACTAACTTATATTAAACGATTGAAGTAATTTAATTATTTTTAATTTTATTGAAAAAACGTAAGCTGATATTATGCAAAAAAAAAAAATTTATAGGTGCGTAGTTAATTACCAAATAAACTACACTTTGTTAATATGTTTCTTTTTTAGTGTACCTACCTGCATCTAAATAATATACAATTAAATAAAATATGTCTTACCATGATTTGTGTTGAACCTTCATTTGATTCGCTTTCAGAAATGTTGGATACACCACTCCTAGGGGTCTCTTGATCTAAAAGGAACTGCAATTTTTCGAAGTACCATAACTTTGGAATGTATACATTTTCTGTTCCAGCTCCACTTCTTTTAGACTCTTTAATTTTTTTTAATTCCTTTCGAAAATTTGACCTAAGCGAGTCAACTTTTTTTACTACTGTTTCTTTAGACGCGGTTTCATCTATTTCATGCAATTTTGAACACAACTTCTCATAAGCATTAGTTCGCTTATTACGGTCACTGTAATCTGACGATTTGATACGCCACAAACATGGATAATTTCTGTACAGCTCAATGAACTCTACTGTAAATTCTTTTGGCCATTGACGTATATCCATTGTGTCTCCTGCTAAAAAACAATGATTAAATTATTTTTCGTGGGCATATTTTTAATATTTTTCATAATTTTAAATGCATACTTGATGATTTTTTAGTGCATGAATGGCGGGTTTATGTATTAAATTTACTATTACCCGTCATAGCCGAGCGGCTATGGTGAAATAATATAATACAAATATATTAAGTATTATAATAATACTTAATAGGTATATTAATATAATGTTAATATTTTACGTAATAAATATAAATAATAATTATATTACTTACTTTTATATTCTCGAATAGTTTCCCTTGAAGACACTACAATACTGCAATAGTTCACGTATAGAGCAAAACTAAATTATTTTCTGATTCTATGATCTCGTATACTCAGTAAATAAAATAAACCAAATTTATATTGTACAATAATTACTGTTATCAGTACAAAAATAACATCTTGAAAATAATAATATTGGGGTTATTTATATATGATTTATTTATATATGCTATTTATAGTTTTTAAAACTGTACGGTTTTAGTTCGAACGCTGAAATGGGCACACACCTTCGGTTTTGTTCATTTCAAACACCAAACACGGACAAAAATCAAACTCCTCAGTTTTTATTCCGTTTCCGTGTACGGTGTTTTTCATCCGTTTTATTGCCCATACCCTTTCGGTGTACCTTGTTCGAACTACACCGTACACCGAAAACGGACAAATAAAACCGTAGTGTGTGGCCAGCTTAATATTCAACATTGTACTTACGACCTGTGACTGCGGCGAGTTCGGAAAATTACAAAATTACAGAGAAGTTGAGGAGTCGTTGCCGAGTGTCCGAGTCTAGACCGAATTTCAGAATGAATTAGAGATGGAAAGTTCGTGAACGAATAGTTCATTTGAACTATTCACTTTGATGAACTATTTTGAACTGTTTCAGTACCTGTAACTTAACAGTTCACAGTTCAAAAAACAAATTGGTAGCATTGTTTTAATAGTATAGTTCATGATATTTTGTGATCGTCTTTTGAACTTCAGCTGTGATTGGATCGGAATGGTCATGAACTAGATAGTAAGGTACTTTGTTCGTAGTACGAAAATTCAAAATCCTGAAAACAGCTGTTCGCAATCAAATAATATATTAGAAAAATAATATATTAGAAAAATAATATATTAGAAATTAAATATATAGATATTAGATATTAGATTTCTGACTGAAATTGAACACTGAACCACGGATTTATATAATATTATATAATATTATTATAATTGTTATTATATATATATATATATGTGGATTGAACTTAATTAATAGTTACTAGTTACTATAGTTAGTCCACACTCCACACTTTCTAATGATTTATTTCTATTTTCTACTTAGAAAAGATTTTTAACTTATTATTATTACCTATTTAATTAATAAAACTTCTCATATTAAAATACTAATAGAATGCTAAAGACAAATTTTAGTTATCTACAAAAATAAGTTTCTTATAAATTATTATGCAGGAATATAAGTTTTTTTATATCCAAGCGATTTCTCTTTAAAGTAATAATCTAGCCAGCTTCTAAAAATATCCTTTCACAAGGAACACTAGTTTCAGACACACATAGTCGCTTGATGACAAATGTACGTAGGTAGATAAGGATATATATGTTTTCGTTCATGCCACCATTTCAAAGGATCCTCATGCCGATCTAGTAATGGCTCTTGCATATATCTATCCAATTCTATTATTCCGGATGCTGTTGATGCCTGAGTGGCTTTGAATTGTTCTACTTTTTCTTCATAGACTTTTCACAACAGAGATACTGGAGGAGATGGAGGTATGGAAGGTGTTTGTTCAGCATTGTCTATTTGATTTGATGGTGAGCTAATATTTCCTAAACGTGATTTCAAAAGAGAAAAAGCATTTTTAAATTTGTTATCACTTATAAAGCCATATTTTTTAAATTTCGGATCTAAAATCGAGGCTTGTAACATTATTTAATTTTCCTTACTGTCACTAAACCTTTTCCTTAATTGATTTTTCAAAGAAATGGCCATTTCATACGGCAAAGATATGTCATGATTCATGACTCATGAACATAAGTGTCTATAGTCTGGAACATAGAACTAACTAAAACTATTACTTTTGACACAGACACTGTTTTTCCTGAACTGACTTCGATGGTGACTTCATTAAAAATATAGTACACCAATGGCCTTTTCAACTATATCCCAATCAGCTGGAGTTAAAACTGCAATTTCGGTTTGTAACACAGCTAAAGTTGAAATTACAGCATCTTTGATAGAAACAATTCTCTTCAGCATATCAAATATCGAATTCCATCTGGTCACACAGTCTTGCTTTAATTTCAACGTAGGTAGACCCATTTGAGTTTGTGTTGAATTAAGTTTTACTAATGCA